TAAACCTTAGTTGAGTCTCTAAATAAAAGTATTCTACATGCAAATCTATATCTATAGTTAAAATTTTGTAATTTTAGTAAATAATAATAAAGAAATTTGCATTATTAAAAAAAGTCTGTGAATTGTTAAGTTTATGAACCTAATATAAGGCTCGTGAGCCTATTATAAGGCTCGTAAGCCTACTATAAGGCTCGTGAACCTACTATGAGGCTTGAGCCGAACTTAACTTATAAACTCAGGCTCGAGCTGAGCCTAAGACTTTTGGGCTCAACTCGGCTTGAACTTTATGAGGCTCAGCTCAGCTCGGCCTATGAGGAACTTTACTTTTAACATTATTAAATGCCATTCTAGAATGCTATAAAAAATTCGTACCATTATGACTAATGATATATGAACACCAATATACAACATTATTAATATGAAACATTTATTATATATTATAAAACAGTGATATATAATGTTATATAAATGCCATTCATAAAATATAATACAAACGGAGTGTTCATATAGTGTTCTAGAATGTTATGTTCTAGTATGTTGGTATCATTCTAGAATGCTATTCAATCATTTCATTCATATAATGTTATAGAATGTTATATAAAAATTCCTGATGTATATCTATTATCTTATAAAAGAAATTAATCAGAAATATTAAAATAATATAGTATACAAAAAATTTAAGTAATCTATTAAAATATTATCATTCAATGACTTGAGTTTTGTGATCTACCCATTGCTCAAATGACTTGAGTTTTGTGATCTACCTATCACTTGAATGACTTGAATTTTTGTGTTTTACTTATCAACCATAATTCAAACTAACTGGAAATAACATATTTATATCATTTCTGATAATATTATCTCATCTAAATTCAATTCAAATATGAACATACCTATTCAAAAATTGAAACTATTTGAATATATCTGGATAAAAATATCTAGATATATTTCAGAATCAAAAAAATTCAAATATATTTACATAAATTTACCTTCAAAAATTTTTCTGATATATTTTTATCTTGAAATCTTTATTTCAATCTTATAGAATAGATTAGTGTTTTTATTAGCATTATAAGTTCTTCTATACTCCCTAAACCCCTGGTAACTACCAGGCTAAATCCAAGCACTTTATTGTTCTTGTTATCACTCTTCCAACCAGGTAGTATCACTATTTAACTTTATGAAAATACAATATAATTTATTATAGCAAAAAATCTCAGCTTTCAGATTCACTAAAAATTTTTTGTTTAATAAAAGTAAAAGAATAAGTTTTCCTAGTGGCAACTGTAGATTCCTGTATTTTATATATTATTCACTGATTGGTATATGGATCACAATTAATAATAAAGTCTCGCGTAATCGGAAATATAATAGATCGATAAGTTAGAAAATTTTTGATATCTCATGTGATCTGATAACGTTACGTTTTGCTCCGAAATCAATCACATGAATTCTACTCCGTTTTAACCACAAATAATTTTTGGATTAACATTAAAAAAAAATTTTTTTCTAATTACGTAGTGAAAAATTTAGAGATTAAGAATCTGGAATAAATAAATATCCTTTTATCGAGAAGATAAAAATATATAAAATTTAAAAACGGTGCTGCTCACTTTTATTTATTTCTTTTGAAGCAAAAAAAAAGGTATCCTTTATAATCATTGAAAAAAAAAATCCCAATATTATTATGTCTCTTGATCGGGTAGAATTTCTACTCCGCTTAATAAAATTTATAATTTTATAACTTCTATTATTGGGAACACCTCAAAGAATCGCTATCAAAGCATTACATACGGAGCAATAATTTTTTTTTATTAGCTCAAAAACCTATTGCTTTGGGGAAAGTCCTCGGACGTATGGCAGAAAGTGTCACCCATAGTGTGGTATTACCATTCACTTGAACTTCCTTATGTCGAGGAAAAAAGGTTTTTTAAACCTTTGAGATTCATGGGAAGTGTCGTGAATTGGTTTTGTTGGTCATAGCACAGTTATGCGATTGTGATCTTTTTCTTATTAAGAAAAGTTCATAACAGAACGGGGCTTACTCTTGGGGTGTTCCCTCATCATTTTTTTTTTATAAATATTTTTGTATTTTTATTTTTTATTTTATATTTTCATTTCATATTTTTATTTTGGATTTTATTTTTTAGTTAAACCAATTTTTTTTTAATTAAAATATTATTTCTTTAATTCTAATTTTTTTTTAAACAGAAAAGAGTATTTACAAAAATCTTATTATACTATTATTTATGATATATATGATATATAATAGGATAATGTAATTACCGAACATTTATTAAAGCGGGAAATTTTAAAATTTACAATGAAAAAAAAAAGTCCAATTTATACAAACCTGCATTTACTACAGAATTAAAAAAAAAAAAAATTTGATATCGATTTTTGACTCGTTAAATTAATTAATCAATGATATAATAAGTGACACCATTTTCTTCTACGGATTCTAATTCTATCGATTCTTGTTGTGACGATGATTCCAATGATTCATTATCATTTAACTTTTCGTTATTCAAATCATATTCCCCAAGTTCCCAAACTTCACCTTGATTACTAGCGTAATCAAAATAACCTCTCCTCTCAATTCCTCCCATAATTGAAGTGTTATCATCTTCAAGATCACTATACATTTCTTGTTCTTGTTCGTATTTTTTACTTAATTCAATTTGAGCTTTTCGTTTATTTGTATATACACCAGTAATATATACTTCGGTATCGGTAATGCATGTAACTCCGTCATATGAATATGTGCTATTGGTGAGTATATAAACTTTCTTGGGTTTAGAGCTTACAGTATAGTTAATGTAAGAAGCCACTCGAGAAGGAATACTGACGATTTGGTACCATTGCTTACACACAGATCTTGCTTTGACTAATTGTGGAACAGAAAGGTATTCAAATATGTTATGAATCAATTCTGGAGTTGTAAGAACTTCTAAAACAGAAGACCGCTTAGTTTTAGAAGTTGAAGAAGTTGAAGAAGTTATAGAAGTTATAGAGGTCATAACAGGTGACAAAAAATTTGTTGACTTTGGTGACGACGTCGTTTGTTCTTCTGAGCATGACATCTTTTATTTTTATATAATTAGTTGGTAGGAAATATTCGAAACTTTGTAATAAAATTAATTGAAAAAAAAAACAAGTTTGTTAAAAAATTTTCATATTGTTGTTATGATTGAATAAATTAATAAATATTATACATACTTATTTCATAACGCGTTCGACGTACGAGTTTAAAAGTAAAACTGTTAATTGTTAATCCATAATCTATTCTGTAATTTGTGATTCACATCAAAAACTGATAAATGATGATGTTTCACAAACGCTCCACAAATGATCCACAAATGATCCAACAAAAAATGTTCCAAGTAAACGCGATGATTATGTGAAAAAATATGAATTATTTTCTTGATATAATTCCATAGATAAAAAATTTTATTATATTTTTATTATAATAATAATATATTTATTATAATAAAATATTATAAATTATAAATTATATATTTATTTGACAAATTTCTTTATAATCTATATTTTTTCTTTAGAATAAATTACTATATTTATATTTCTTTTAGTCTTGTCTTTATCGCGCGTATTCATTGTGAAATTCTTTGTAACACAATGATCGTTTATAAATTAATCTCGAGTTGAGAATAATTTTTTCACAACTCTCTCTTTTTTCTTCGTTGTCAACCATGTTGATTATAATCGTCATGTCTTTTTTCTTTACAATCTTTTACGTGTTATTCACCCTGAAATTTTTTATCATGAACTATCTTAAATTTCTTGTTGAGACGCAACTAGAAATCATGGCTCTAAAGGCAAAACAGGATAATCTCGAACAACGTATTTCCGAATTAGTAAAGAAATCAAATGAAAAATATAATGAATTATTATTTGAAAATTTTATCTTGAAGATAACCTTGATCACTCATAAAAAACATATTACTGAACTCACAACTTTAAATGATAACTATAACAACAATCATATTACTGAACTCGTAAATTTAAATGATAACGATAACAACAATGACAACAATGACAATCATGATGAAACCTACAACCGTATCTTGAAAAAAATTGAAAAAATGAAAACTCAATGTAAAAATGCTCTTAATTATTCAACCATATCCCGACTACCAATTATCAAATCAAGAAAACTTAGTTCAGTTCCAATTGCACACAAATCCTCTTAAATCTATTTACGGTTTAATGTTTAAAGTTTAATTGATCTTTTCAATTTATCTAAAGAATCTGATCAATTAAGATATTTTTCTTCAATTTTCATATTTCTAATATACTTTATCTTTAGATAGTTTTGTTCATTATATATATATATATATATTTTGTTGATCTTCACGTATTTGTCCATTGTGTTGATCTTACTTTAGTTCTTACGATTTCTTTTGTTCTTATACTGATCTCATTTTAATTTTTATACTTTTTCTTATATTCAATTTATTGAATTTATCAATTCATTCAATTCATTATTATAAATTACGAAAATCATCTTTTTTTAATTACATTCGTCGATCGTTTATTTGGTACTGATCATTTCCTATTATAGTTATAAATAATAATAAATAAATGGTCAAAATGTTAATTTTTAATTTTTTAATTGAATCATTAATTATTAATGAGCGGAATTACAGAAGCAGAAAGACATCAATACTTTCAAGTCTTTACCTCACTTGGGCCATCACCCAGTGGACATTTATCAGGTATTTCTTTGCTGAGTAAAAATTAAAAAATATATATATATATATATATAAAGTTAAAAGATCTCGCGTTACATAGGTACACAGGCAAGAAATTGGCTCTTAAACTCAAATCTTCCAGTGCAATGGTTAGAAAAAATATGGTAGATGATTATTGAAAATATATTTTTTTATTTGAGAAAATTTCAGTTTGTTCTGGCTTTTAATATTCTAGTTAATTATATCACATCCAAAAAAAAAGGGACCTTTGTGATATTGATAAAGATGGTCAACTGGACTTTGAAGAGTTCGCAGTTACATACAGATTGGTGAAAGATTTATTGGATAGATCATATACAAGTGTACCATCATCACTTCCATCTCGTTTAATTCCACCCAGTAAAGCTCATTTATTAGGAGGAGGAGGAGGATTTAGTGGTAGCAATTCTTCCTTAGGTTTAAGTAATACTGGAATGTATTCACAATCAATGAGTCCAATTCCACAATCAATAAGTCCAATCCCTCAAACAAATATTGGTCAAATTCAACAAGGAATACCGAATATAGTACCTTCTTATCAAATTTCCCAACATTTACCACAAGTTACTCCATCACCACCACCACCACCTCCTCCACCACCTCCTTCTCTGCCTCCTTCTCTGCCTCCTTCTCTACCTCCTTCTCTTTCTTCTTCACAAGTATGAACAATTATATAATATATTTATAGCATTTCATTGTTGAATTACTTTATTTAATATTATTTGAAAATCAAAAAAATCATAGTCAATTTATGGCAGTTTTCCTACTGCACCGCTTTCGGATGATTTTGATTGGTACATGCCACCCGCTGATAAATTTAATTATGAAAATGAATATTCTAGAAATATTGGGCCACATGGTTACGTTCGATGCAAGTATCTTTATAGAATCTATCCAGTTTATCCATTTTTTTTTTATTTATTTTATTTTATTTTATTTTTAATGACTTTATTTTATTTCTTTTTATTTCTAGTCTCTAATTTTGATGACTTATATCAACGACTCGGAATACCAAGAGAACAGTGTATCGCTGCATGGTTTGTTTAAATCAAAATTGATTAACATTTTATAATGTTTATAATGTTTATAATTTTGGTACCTTTTTTGAATTTAATTTCAAAATTTCAAATATTCAGGAGTATGGTTGATGTTAATTTTGATCAACAATTAGGCAAAGATCAATGCCTTGTATTTTTACATATATTAAATCAACGAAGTAAAGGCAAACGTATACCCGATAGTTTGCCCAGTGCTTTAAAAACTTCTCTCATGAGGGGTAAACTTAATTACAATTATAACGAAACAGTTGATCCTTCATTGAAATATAAATCATCTGATGGCGGATCACAAAGTTCAAATAAGGGAACTTATAATAATTCTTATTCAGGTATATATGACAAATATATGAATTTCAAATATATAAAATCCATTAAAAAATATTACATATATATATATTATGTATATATATTTAACAAATATAAATATATTATTATTCTTATTATTTATAAAAGGTTCAAAATTTGAAGAAGAAAAATTACAAAGAGAACTTGATGATTTAAATGAAAAAATTAAAAAGGCCGAGGAAACAGCTTTATCCACATACACCAATGCACTTTCAAGTTCATCATCCGCTGGAGATTCCGGAACTGCATCCGAATTTAAACAATTGTATGAATATAAACAATCAAAACTTGCGGAGGTGAAAGAAAAAGAACAATTAAATAGAACATTAGAAGATTATATTCGTAAAGAGAGACTTGCGACTCGAGAATTACGGGATATGATGCAATCCTTGAAAAATCAAGTTTCATTACTGGAGAATAATTCGGAATCAAGTCAATCCGAGTATAATAGACTTCAACAGGAAATTTCCAGTGCAAAACTTGGTCGATGACCTAAATTAACTTTGATTTATTTATTTATTTATTTGAATAGATAATTATGATTCCTTTTTAGTAGTGATTATTAATTAATCCAAAAAAGTTTCGTGAGAGTCCCAGTCATGTGTTATAAAAAATCATGTGTCGTCAGTCTTAAAAAAGGATTATTAATAATATTTTTAATTATATATTTATTGATATCATTGATATGAAAATGTAATAGCGATCTTTTTACTATTTAGAATGTATACAAATTTATTATTTAAAACCTCGTTATTTATACAAAAATAAAATAAAATAAATATAATATATAATAAAATAACAAATAAATTTAAATATCAATAAATTAAAATGTAAATTATTATTATTCCATATTAAGCTTTGAACTTTTTATTAACAAATAAATATATTGTATGGGGTTGCAAAATTATATATTAAATTTCTTTATAGTGTTAAATTACCTTGATTTAGATTTATAAAGATTATGTGCACTCTTTTTTGGTTAAATATTTTTATCTTTTAAAAAAAAAAGCATTCACATAAACTTCCATAATACACGATCTAAATGTTGTTTTAAAACCAAGGATAAATTGTGTCTTTTTTTTTTTTTTGATTTTTTTTTTCTTTTACTTGTATTAAAAAAAGTGGTATGTATTATATTTATAATAAACGAAGAAGAGAAAATGTAATAAGGGGGAAAATAATGTATTACGATAAAAAAAGACTCCTAACATGTAACCAACACACTACACCCTTGTGAAAAAAAACATAAGACCCGAAGGAATTTTGATTATGCAACGTGAGAACCATTAAGCAACAATAATAAAAAATGAAAAAAAAAGAATTATGATCTCCAATATAACTAAAGGGGGTCCTTCTAATTTTATAATGAAATGAAAAAAAAAATAATATATATGTAAGAATCTAATACCAATGTTACTTGGCTTCTTCAGCTTCGACTTCTGGTTTAGATTCTTCTGGTTTCTCTGCATCTAATTAAATTTATTTTAGTTAAAATTTGGAGAAAAAAAATTTTTTTAAAATATTCAATCGAAATATAAATTAATATAAAATATAAAATATAAAAATGAATATAAACAAAATGTAGAAATATAAATAAAATAAGTTAGAAATAAATATAAATAAATTAAAAAATAATTTGAACTAACCTTCTGCCAGATCGGAAGTCCAGAGAGTTAGATTATCTCTCAACAACTGCATAATCAATGTACTATCCTTGTATGATTCTTCACTTAGGGTATCAAGTTCAGCAATAGCATCATCAAATGCTTGCTTGGCAAGATGACATGCACGATCAGGCGAATTGAGAATTTCGTAATAGAACACCGAAAAGTTTAGAGCAAGTCCGAGACGAATTGGATGGGTTGGAGCCAAGTCAGTCTGGGCAATGTCGGTTGCATGTTTATAGGCTTCGTGAGCTTGAGTTGCGGCTTCTTTTCGTCTCTCTCCAGATGCAAATTCAGCGAGATATCGATGATAGTCTCCCTTCCTAATTAAACGAAGAAATAAAAGCAATAAGGAATAATGTTTATATTATTATTATAAAGGAAGGCGAAACCACCGTCGTTGTGTATTTAAAAAGGCGGATTCGAATAGCCATTGCCTACACTGAAATAATTTTTTCAGAATGGATCCATTAATTGAATCAAATTTCTAAATCTGTCATTCATTCATATTTGGATGGTTTATTAGGTTCGGCAAGATCTACTGGTGATTTCGATTATAATATATTGTAGAGATACAAGTTCATCTGAAGCCTGACTCAACCGTAAGTTTGTATTCCATATTTTAGCCTTACGAATCTAACTATATTACATAATTCACTCACATCTTGTAATAAAATACTTTGGATTCACCGGCTTCAGCAGACGGAATTAAATGTCCGTCTAGCACAGCAAGGATATCCGAGCAGACTTCAGAAAGTTCGGCTTCCACCTTTTGACGATAAGCCTTAATCTTCGAAACTTGGGTTTCATTCCCTTTATTTTCTTCCTTTTGTTCAATGGATGAAATAATTCGCCAAGATGCACGACGAGCACCGATAACATTCTTGTAAGCCACTGAAAGAAGGTTACGTTCTTCAACAGTAAGCTCTACACCAAGCTATAGATATAATTATCGCCAACAACATTTTGTCAAATAAAGAAATGAAGAGAATATAGAAGAATATAGAAGAATGTAGAAGAATATAGAAGAGTATGAAGAAGAGTATGAAGATGAAGATGAAGATAAAGTAAGAATGAATATAAATAATGAAAAGAAACAAATAAATATAGGAATCAATTAAAATAATTACCTTGGCAACATCCTAATAAAAAAACGTGGAAGTAGTAAGAATAAAAAGAAATTAAATTTTTAAGTCGGAAAAAAATATATCAAAAGAAAATGATTGATGTAAACACATGCCTTCATATAAGAAACCATTTCTGATCGTATATCAAAATATATGCGTAGATAATAAAGATAATGAATTTGTGATACCATTCAGTAAAATTGAATCAAATATAAATTAATAATATATAAATAATGAGAGAGAGACATTACCATCGTAACGTTCAGCTTGCTCAGCGAGCTTAGCCATATAAACCTTTTTTTTTTTGGTAGTCGCCAACAAATAAAAATAAAAAAATTTTTTGTCATATTTTCCCCGAAAGATTTTACCATAAATATTAAAAAAATAGACAAAAGATAATGCTCTACGCGGTCAAATACCTGGTTTTCGCGATCCTATAAAAGAAAAAGGTAAATAAAAAAAAAAAAGTTAACGATAAAAATTCATGGGTTAAAATCGGGATGAAACATTTTGATGGGTTTATTAAATATAAAAAAAAAAACGTCAAAAGTTTGAAGAATAAATGTCGAGACGAAATTTCATCCGACAGCCGATCACAATCCTTCGTAATGAATTCCACCAAAAATATCTCGTGCAGCGAGACATAAGACTTACGTGGGCCATTTTATCCATTTTTATGAGTGTGGGGTAATTTGGTTCTCTCTTTTCAGTTTTGGAAGGAATAATTTTAGACTAGACAGACAGATGCGTTGACGGTGAATAAGACACACAGGAATAATGACGAGTATCACTACTGTTTGAACAGATACAATTTTTTTTTTTTTGTTCTGCTATGGATTCTTGTAGTACTATCGATTTTCGTGCTTTATAAAGTGGTAGTGCAATTTACAAATTTGAACCAGGGTTATTTGTTACGAGTGGCATAACTCACGGGATATCGTGGCATTAATATCTAAATCAATGTGGCAATTCTTTTTAATATTGTCATTAAATTTATCTTTGGGGGTGAACCTTTTTTTTTTTTACCAAAAATGGGGTGAGGCATTATCGTATGATTGCTTTTTGTGACTGACCATTAAAAAAAAAATTAACTTTGAGTTCCCGATTCATACTATATGCCATTATTGAACCAATTAAATTTATTTAATTTATTTTACCATTATTGGATTAGTGAGCATTTAAGAAGAAATCAGATAATCAGATAATCAATATTAAAATATAAAGATCATTTTTGCTTTGCCAAATTGAGCAGCCATATAAATTGCCCCATATTAATATATCATTTTCAAAAGATTGATTCTTGAATAAAAATGTTGAATTTCATTAATTTCATTCGTATTTAATTAAAAAAAAAAAAATGTAAAAATCGAAATAAAATAGAATGTAAAAAGTGATAAGTTCTTTTAAAAATTTATCCCAAAATTTCAGTTTTTGCCTGAATAGGCATTGTTTTTTAGGCAGCTCAACGAACCCACGATTTTACAAGACTTGAGAGTTTGAGAATTTGTACTTTTACTTCGGATCGATTTTACGCAACGGGAGAGCGAATTTATGCTATGAAATTCATAAGTGCCTAAGTGGCTCTGATGATTAAAAAAAAAAAATACTATGAAATTCATAGTACCATTCGAAAGCTCTCATTTTCAAGCTTCGTAATGATGATTTCTAGAATCGATATAGTTTCAGTCCGAGCCTACAAGCCCGTGAGACGAGCCAAACCTAAGCTTTTTTAAACGAGGCCGGGCTCGAGTTTTTTAAAGCTCGAACCAAGCCAATCGGGTTTTGCCTTTTGAAAAGCTTTTAAAAATTTACTTTTTGTTGATAAAAAAAAAACAGATTTAACCCGTTAATAAAATCATTGTTCTAAGGATATAATGGAATATTATAAAAAAAAAAAAACAATAGAATATTTTTAATCAAAGTGTCACAATTAATTTGTTTAGATCTACAAATAAATACTATAATTGTATTAATTTCATTTCTTTCAATGAAGATATTCGTAGTTGTTTATTTTTCGATATTCCACAATTATAATATTTTAATTAGGCGTAATATTTACTTCGGTCCATCGCGATGTTACGCAAATGTAATTAAAATAATAGTTGAATGAATTTTATAGATAAGCACGAAATTTTATTTAATCCTTCTCAATAATATATATTTAATAATATATACAATAATATAATAGAAACACCCAAAACATAATAGAAGTGTAGTAATGACAAAAAAGGAGATTTAAAAACAAAAAAAAAATCTACAAGAAAAAAAAAATCTAAAATAAATACATTATATATAGAAATGAATGAATGAAAGTGTATACAAATTTATTATATAGACAAAAAAGGAAAAACAGAATAAAACGAATGTTTACAATTTTTTCATAATATTTTCTGTAATTAAAGAAAATAATTTTATCAGTAAAATAAATAATTTAATGAATAAATGAATAAATGAATAAATAAATAATACGAACCATAAATTTGAGGAAAATGATCCATCATCATATGCGAAGAAAACCAAATTTCTTGGAATATTTTATCAACATTTTCTACTTCTAACATAATATATGGTCTATTATTACTACTATTATTATTACTACTACTACTACTATTGTTATTATTAGTATTATTATTGTTATTATTATTGCTCTTTGTGTCACTAGGTTTTGTACTCCCACCACCACTACCCCCAGTTTTATTTTTTGTATTTATTGTATTTGTTGTATTTGTTGTAGAAATTTCATCTTTTTCATTATTATCACCCTCTTCATCACCCTCCTCTTCTTCATTATTATCATCATCATCATTAGCTTCACAATATGGTTTTCTATTGTTTTTCACAATCCAATAAACTTTTCCGGGTGGGTAAAGTTTTGGATTATTCATTTGTGAATTAATGTCTTGTCTCATTTTCCAAAACCATGATTCATATTCGGCTTTTGATGTTTGACCTTTTTCATCATTACTAAAACATCTTGATTGATAATCTATTACTTTTTTTATAATCTTATTGGCAATATCTTCACCACCTTCCATTCCCATTCTACCAAAATATCTTACCATATTTCGTAAATCTAATACGTGACCTAAACTTAATCTACAAATTAAATCATCGGCATGACATACCGATGTTACTAAAGTTTTAGCTCGTTTTGAAAGTTCCGCTGACATCACACACGGTGTCGCAAATGCGTACGCGTGTACCCTTCGACCTAAAGGTAAACGACTCCATCGTGTGGTCATACAAGTTGAAGGTGAAGCAAGTAAAAGAGCTAAACAACTTGCGACACCTATAAAATAACAATAATATATATAATAATATATTTATATATAATATCGTTAATATCGTTAATATCATTAAAATATTATTATTATTTTTTTTTTATTTATAAATTCCCAAGGATGATTTAATTAATTTTACATACCGGCACCCAAAGAATGTCCTACTAATACTAATCCATATCCATCATTTGCTTCCATTTCTCGTTTAAGTGCTTCAAATACTCCAGATTGTCCTGGTGTAGCCATTGATTTCGCTACTTTAAATATTCCTTTATGTACTTGATGTTTAGTGTAATCACCTCGTTGAATATCTTCGGGAAATTGAAAATCTTCATGTTCACAAGTTAAATCTACAATTAAATCATGAATTGACATTGTCCCTCGTAAAGCAAGAATAATTGATTTGGTGGCGTGATCTCGAATTAAAAAATATGTTGGTTGATAACTATATCCATTAGTTACTTTTTGATGTGATGAATCTACAATTGAATCTAATGATAAATCCGTTGAACTGGCAAATGCAAATCTATGTAATGTACCTTTTTGTCTCCAAAGAGGAGCAGGAAATGGGATATGACTTTTTATAACTGTTTTAAAATCATAAGCAGATGATGAAAATTTTGAATATCGTTTAAGATTATGTAAAAGAGAGAATAATCTTTCATCTTCACTTTGATTTTTAAATTCTTCTAAATATGGATTACTATATTTTTTGGTGGTTTCTATGAAAAGATCACTTAATCGTTTCACATGATCATTGTCCGTTTTTGATGATAGATAATCTGATACTTCATCACGTGGAGTTAATTCACCTACTAAAATATTCTTTTTTTGATTTTTATTATTTATTAAAACCACTTCTTCATCATCTTCTTCTTCAGTAATTAATAATTCTAATTCTTCCATTAATGTATCATCAGAATCAATATGTACCCAATCATAACATAAATCCCAAAAATCAACTAATTTTACTTTTTTCCAACTACCTAATTCCCTTTCCCATTTATCACCTGTAACATATTGAAGAGCAGCCCAAGCAGTTAATGATTTAATTACTAAAAAAATACTGAATGGATCATCAACTTGAACTTCATCATCATCATTATGAAATTTCCATTCACGTTTAACCAATTGAACAAATTCAGCTAAAGCTTTAGCAGTATCACTAGTTCCAAATAGAGTATCAATTAATGTCATACTTTCAGTAACAGTTCCCAAAGCAAATTGTACAGTTCCAGAAGTCAATTCTATTCCTGTTAGAGCAATTTGTTCAGTTAAAGATAAAGTACGATGTAATAAATTTGTAGATGCCCCAATTACTCTAGGAATGAAATACAATAATCTTACAGAATCAAATTTTTTTTTAAAAAAAAAAAAAAAAAAAGTAAAATAAAAAAAAAAATGAAAAAATGAAATGATAAAAAAAAAAGAGATAAATATAACAAATCATTAAATCAATATATAAAATACCTTCCACCGACACCTTCTAAAGAAGTTGCTTGTATCATTCTTTCGGATAATACACCAGTAACGGTTCGAGCAATATCCAAACCAGCTTTCGTTGAAAATTTGGCAGTTTCCAAAGAAACTTTAGATATTACATTAAATAAATCTAAACCAACTTTCGTAGCAGCTGCAATGTTTGTAACAGTTATGGCAAAATCCGAGTGAGATGTGAGTGCCAAAGATGCCTGTGACGAAGATACCGCAGTAATCATATCAGAATTCTTTTTTTCATATTCATTATTTTTACTAGTAGGTGAAGTAATTGGAGTAATAGAAGTACTAGAATTAATAGAAGTAATAGTACTAGAAGTATTACTAGAAGTACTACTACTACTAAAAGAGAGTTCGGGTAAAATCAATTCATTTTCATCGGTTTCATTTATATTACGACGTATTCTTCGACGAGCTTGTAAAGTTAAATCGTTGAAATAAGATAATCGATTATTATCATCTTCTGTATTTACACCCTTCATACTATCTACACTACACAAGTTATCAACATTAACGATATTATTCATGGTCGTTTGTTATATTATTACAATAAGTTTTTGTTTTTATTAAGAAAAAAATAATAATAAAATAATAAATCCACAATCACAAATTTATATCCTTTTGGAAAGACAGATAAATAATGATGATGATGATATTTTTTGATTGATATTTGATTGATATTTGATTGATATTTAAAAATATTTAAAATGTTTAAATAGGGGAAGTCGTCCATTTATAGATTTTTTGTATAAAATTTTTTTTGTTTATATAAATTCGGGAGTTGTTAATATAAAAAAAAAATTACATAAAAAAATAAATATTTATTTATTCAATTAATTAAATTTTTAATATTATATAAATAAATATTGCCATTGAAGTAATCATTACCAAAAGTTGGTTCCACATCAAAAAAAAAAAAGAATCAAGGGAGGAAAACGTTAAAAAGTATATTAAATACTCATTTATATCATCATGTGTAGCTGTAATACAGTTTGATTTTTTTACTCCACAAATTCCAACTTGACGTAAATGATTCCATAAAGAGAAGTATTCGCCAAGATTCTACATATATTATTTGTAATGTCTTAAATTATTTAAATTATTATGTAATTTTATAACTATGATAATTACGAGAGATTAAAAAGATTCTTTTGATAAATATTATCTATTATAACGAATATTACAACTATTACAATTATTACAACTATTACAATACAATTATTCCAAACACATCATTCATTCATCATTTCATTAATTAAATTTCTCTGTACAAAAGGTTTAACCAATAAAATATAAATTAAAATTAATCAAATTAAAAAATTTATTCCTTTTTTTTTTTTTTATTTTTTCTATGCAGGGAATTCCTGTCAAAAATAAAATTTCAGCTGAAATTCTCTAAAATTCTCTAATATTCTCTGTTATTCCTGCCATTTAAAATAGGCGTTTTAGTACATCCTTTCTTTATTTACCATTTGTTTTCTCATTACCGTTTAAAGAAAATTCATGGTTTTGGCTTTTGGTTTGAGATAGGTTTGAGATACGATTGATAAGCATATTATTTAGTAAACAACATCTAATATTCAATTATTATTTCTAATATTTTAATTGAATTAATTTAATATGTATCTAATTATATTTTTAATTAATATATCTAATTAATATATCTAATTAATATATTTAAATTAATATATTTAAATTAATATATTAAATATGTTTTAATTAATTAATATATTTAATTAATACATTAAAAATATATTTTTTAAAATAATACAAGTTCAGTCGTGGTTTTAATTAATATTATAAAAGGAAAAATGAAAATCGGTGCAGGTTGGATGGTTTTACAACAAGTCCCTAACGGGAAATGTACGTGTGAGATAGTGTGCGTATCAGGTGGGCTAAATTATTATGTTATTTTAAGTTATTAAATGCGTGTTAAAATTTTCCTTTGCGATTTGCATAATTTGTTAAATTTAGGAAATTGGGCAAAAAAAAAATTTTTTTCTAAAAATAAAAAAAAATAAAATTTTCTTGCTAATAAAATTTTTACCGGTTTAAATGCTCGTTTTTCATGTTCTTTCATCAGGCTTCAAAGTAATCACGAGGCCATTACTATGTTATTACTAAATATGCTAAACATTGCGCAAGTTTTTATACTGAATTGATATCTTTCACATCTTGATATTTTTTACACATCCTTCCCCAAAAAATCAAGAAAAAAAAAAAAAAAAAAAATTCCAAAAAGCGATCTAATAATAAACAAATATGTAATAAAAAAAGTTGGGGTTTTAATATAAATAAATAAATACACAGCCAATACAGCCAATTTCAAGTGACACAAAATCAAAGGATAAGATAAGAAAAAAAAAAATCTAGACAATTCCGATTCCCCACATTTTACTTTATTTTCTTACATAATTCCCCCATAATTTATTCAAACATCCAAGCAGGAAAGTAAACCGGAAATTCTTATTTTCTATTCTTTTCCATTTCTCTCTATTAATAGATATATACAAGTTATGATTTCATGAGTTATTTTCATTATTACTCTTGAGATTAAAACTTTTAAATTTGATATTCATTATGTCATTACTCTCATCATTATTTTCAGTATTTCAATAATTACCAATACTTTTTAATGTACAATTATACTTGATAGGATTAGTATTTTACCAATACAATTAGCAATAGACTGCTTGGATCATTAATCTGCTAATATAGTTATTCCTATTCAATTAGATCAGTAATATATCAATTGAATGTTATTTGTAATTTATTAGATAATTCAATTATTTCAGTAAATTTATGTTGAAACTTTTCACGGACGTCCGACTTTAAACGTGAAAATCTCGATGAATATCGATGCTACAGGAATGAAACACATATCATCTTATAGCCAGGAACCGGACCTTTCGATCCATCTTATAAACACCTTAGTAGAAAATCGCTCCCTGTTACGTAAATCGCGAGCGAAGTCAAAAAACCGGATTTTTTTTGTAAGGTATAATATTTTTGAAATTTACCCCCCCCCCCCCCGAAAATTTTCCTCGAAATTTCCCTGTTAATATTTATTTTGTTGATGGAAAAATTATAGCTTACAAAGAAATTCTCTCATCACATGGAGCAGTAGTGAACAAAATCTCTTTCTTGATACTTTCTTGGAATAATTAATTACTTTTCATTAATGAAGATCTTATTGTGATTACTATATACCATTCGACCACAAGATCTTCCTTTAGATCAGGAATTTAACTTGGAGGAAATGTATTGGTTGTTGAAGTTAGAAAAAGCAAAGACTATTCCTAGCTTACATAATCTTTCGACAGGTTACTTTTCTCCATTCAAATTTATCTTGTCAATCAAAATATTTTCCATTTGTCAGGATTATACATGTTCTCAAAATAAAATGGGTATTTTGACTTTTTTAAGATTTTTAAGATATTTATTTTATATATGAAAAAAAGTATCCAGTCTAATATATTTTTAATCAAAAAATTTCAGGTTTTAAGTAAAATTAATTTCGTCTTCTATGAAAAACATTTCCAAAACTATATGAAACTTTAATTTCATGCAAGTATAATCTGGTATTATGTTATTTCGATTTGTATGTAGGTAGCGCATTGACTCAAGATGGTACAATGCGCTACCTACATACAAATCGAAAATAACACAATATCAGATATCATCTCCATTATAATACAGTAGAATTACAGGCTTCGGGTTTTCAGCACTTTCTTGTAATACCCCAAGTATTGCAAACTATCAATTGTCATATTCCTGACATTGAACTTTTCAATAGTTCCCCCGGTGGCATTCTAGCTGGAACAATTAATGGGTTTTACTTGAATTAAAAAGTATAATATTAAGTCTTTCCCGCTAACAAATTCATTTGTAGCAGTTAAATGACAATGCATCACGAAAATACGATCCAAATTATTATTGTGGATAATATACCCCGAAAATGAGAAATGGTAATGGGAAAAATGGAAAAAAATAGTATAAATATTTAATTAAGTTTATAATGATAAAAATAAGCTAGTTTTCGTTTTTTGTGAAATATTGAAATCACGTAAATGAATCTTCGAGTTTAACAATATGTAAAACTTATTGCAATTTCATTAAATATTTTCATAACATATAATTTTTTAACTTATATGACAAAATAATCCGATTCTCTTCACATTCGAGTTAACCCACGTTTGTTGTTTGATAAAATTATTGGGACAAAAAATTTGTGATATTCTTTGTAAAACCGCAAGAAATATATTAGTTGCATCATTTCTCCGAAATAAAAAATATGGGAAAAAATACATGATATATACAATAAACACATGTCATTACTCGATCTTTTAATTATTTGTTTTATATGAACAAGTCAACCATTTCTCCATCAGTTAAATTCTTTTCATTTGAATTTCATTTGTCATTTCGGCATTAAAAAAAATAATAATTAAATTTATACCAAATTTGTATCATTTTGACGTCAAATATTTTTATTACATAGCAAAATACTTTTTTTTTTTTTTTGTTTTTTTTTCTTTAAAAAAAACCTATTAACACGATTCATTGTAATTTAAAAAGGGCGAGTATATATATAAATTAATTGATTAAAAAAAGATGAAATATTTTTTTCCTTTTTTTTTTCTAAAAAAAAACTATTAAGTAAATATTAAGTAGGAAGTGCTAATTTTTTAAAGCCTAAGCATTCTGTGTTGGTTGGGATTGTATAGAAGTTTGGCTTTGTATAGAAGTTTGGCTTTGTATAGAAGTTTGGCTTTGTATAGAAGCTTGTGATTGCTGCGATTGAATATTTGGTGGTTGAGATGGTGGTGGTGGCTGAGGTTGTCCCACTTGTTGATGCTGTTGAGACATTTGTTGGTCAGGTTGAGGTTGAGCGTTTTGAATCACTCTATATTGTGAGTTGTAAAAATGTTGTTGAGTAATAGCAGGAGTCATTTGTTGAACAGCGTGACGTTGTTGGGCTGCAATAGCGGCTGCTTGTCGTTGTTGGATCATTAATTGAAGATTTCTTCCTGGGTTCAAATATGGAATTCCTGCGGGAGGCTGAAGTCGCAAAGTTGTTATATTAGTATAAACGATCAGAAAAATAAAATAAAAATAAGATGTGACGAATCAAAAACAAATAAATTAATATATATTATCAATAACATGTACCCTAACATGTGATTGATATGCAAGAACCGCTGCTTGCCGTTGCTCCAGTAGAGCTGCTTGTACCTGACGTTCTCGATCAGACTTTGCTCGGCTTAATTCAATAGGAGTATAAACTCGATGTGTGACCTGACTTGGTTGATCAGTATTCTTTCTCGTTTGTGCTGAATTCAAAATAAAAAGTTATATCAAAAAGTTAAAAAAAAAAAAAAAAAATGAAATACAAAATGTAACTATAAATCTCTATATTTACATTGCTTAATGGCCGCTTCTTGACGCTTTTTGGAAGCCTTCTTAATTGCTTCCATTAAACTTGAATTTCGACGATTTTCATGTATATCATCTTTCTCGAATTGTGACATAGACACATCAACGTGATTAACTGCACGTTCAACATTTGCTAATGTAAATACTAAAAAAATATAATAATTAGTAAAAATTATAGATCAATCAATCATAAACTCTGGATGAATTTATTATAACTTACAAGTAGACGCAGAATCTTGTTGTTCATCAGCCATTTCGCATTCATCGTGTCTGACCCTTTTGACGAATATGCTTTGTTGATCATCATCATCACTTGTTCTCTTCCTCGACCTTTTAACTATGATTTCGAATGAAGTTGCGTTCAGTTAATAGAAATGATATAATATAGAATTTATAGAATTTATAATAAATAAGGGCTTATATATTTACGTGGAGGACGTTGATACATGCGTTTGGTGATGGGCATAATGCGACATTGGTGGAAGTAATCGTAAACAAATTCCTTATCATTAGGACGTGGTCGATCATAGGGAGGCAAATCGGGAAAGATCGATTCGGGATCAACAATCTGTCCATCTGGACCCTTTAATTCGCACATAAACGCGTCTAATGGGACGGAAAAGACTTGTTGTCTTAAATTATGTACGACATTTGGTGCGATTGGTGGTGGCATCATGGATGATGCTTCATCATCAACTGATTCGACATCGATTACTTCATCTGAAAGTAAAATTTCATTAGTACAATACATATAATATATATATAGATATAAATACTAAAAAGATCAATACCACTAGATGAAGTATCCTGATTTTGATTTTCGTTCTTTTCTTCCGCCATTTTTTGGTTATTCAAGTAGTTCGGTTCTTTGGTCTTAAAAGGAAAAATTAAAATGAATCGATCATATTCAAATCAATCTTGAAGAATCGTTCACTATTATTTGAATGAAAAAAGGATGTATACCTTTATACACAAGTCCGCTTTATCTTCAGAATTTTCAGCATTATGCCAATCTCGCACCCATCGGACCATATGAAACGCCATTGCGATCTTCCATTTTCGTTCTTCTCTGAAATCTTTCTGCAACCACAACTATTTGAAAGTAAATGAAAAATTTTAAGTTCTTTAATCTACTCAATCTATTTAATTGTACAGAAGATCACAAGATCACTTACAGCTTCATCAATCATCAAATCCCAAACGGTTTTTCTTCGTGGAGGGTCACGGAATGGTTCATATTGTCTATAACTCCATTTAGATTCATCCTTTAATTCATCAATACGTCTAATTACCCTGTTTGCTTTTACTTCATCACGTGCAACCTTTGCGATTCCAAATTTTTTTAGGTTACTTCAATCAAGTTATATATCATGAAGATTATGTCGAATATATAGATTATATACATACCTTCCAATTATTAGTCGTCAAAACCTTCTTGGGATTGTGGAGCAATCTATACATTGGCTGATTCGAATAATTCGAAACCAATGAGTCACGGTCAAAAGATCGAATTTGAGTATGTCCAGGTCCTCCTCTCAAAGTTTGAGATGTAGTAACTTGTCGACTACTTCCTTCAACGTTTCTAGGAGGAATGGTAACAGGTTTTTTCTGATCTTTATTTTTAGGTGACATGTTTACTCTTATGGAACCTTGACGATTTTGAGTAACGTTAGGGATTTGAGAAATAATAGGTGTTGTAGGAAATCCACCAAGTCTCTGCCGTAATGAAGAAAAGAAAGTATGGTGGTGGTGATATGTTCTTATAATAAGAAAAAAATAGATAATTAGAAAGAGAGTTGTATATTTACCTCTGCGTCTTTTAATATTTCGTCTACGCTTTTAGGATTTATTGCACCACTTGCAGCACGAGTTATCATACGCTCCACTGGAGGCAGTGAAACTCTTTTTTGTTTCTTAGGTTGTGTTGCTTGGTCAACAGAAGTAGAAGTAGTAGAAGAAGACAACGAAGTTTGTTGTTGTATTATAGATGTTGTTGGTACGGTATTAAATTTATTATTTGGAGAAGAACTGAATTTGAGAAAGAGAAAAAGAGAGAGAGAAAAGGATCAACGATCTGAATGTTATCTCAATTTTTAATGTTGTACAGAAAATGAAAAAACCCGAACACTCCCCCATTCACGTTATCTCTTAATAACGCTTTCATATAGAACATAGATAATAATCCAATCAATCCAATTATATTTGTCATTTGGATTGGTTACCTTTTTTCGATGTTAATCCTTTTATCACGATCTAACTTATGTTCTAATAAGAATTCCTTTAATTTAGCCTGATCGACATCACTAACGTCACTGGGATCATCAATGATTATTTGTGTGTAGGTTTCTATGCTATCCGATTTATTTAACATATAATTCATATAGAATAGGTGCTTCAACGCAGACTCGTGCTTATCAAGTATCTCTCTAATGAATGCATTTACGAATGTATATATATATATAAGGAAATTTGTCACTTAGAAATTTGATTAAAAGGCTTACCTGGTTGAAAAAAAAAAATTTATTAACTAGATTTATTTATTTTGTTCATAACCCAATAAAGAAATTTACTTTAATTCTTGATTTTTTATCTCTTCCACCTTATTCCTTAGTTCCTTTATTTGATAGATATAATATTGAATATAATTATAAAAAAATATTGGTTAATATAATATAATATAAATATAAATTGTATAAATATAAAATGTATAAAATCTGAAATATATTTGTGACTTGCGCCATAATCACGTGAGCCACGAAAATTACACTTGTTTTTATTTTTTTCAAAAAATTTTTTTTTCTTATATGTTGAATCGGTACAAATGGTGTATGAACCGTATTAAAACACAATAAAAGATGTTTGAAAGTTCAAGCCGACTTAACGACGTCTCTTTATTTATACTTATACATTATATAATATACATGACTAAAAGGCAAGCTCTTTAACTCACCATTAAAGAACCGTCACCTACTAAATTAGAAACCTTCTCCTTATCAGTGAGTGAGACATCTGCTTCCATAATAGTTTATAATGCTAATATAGCTAATATAAAATAAGAATTTTGAAGAGAGGTAACCCTCGTATATATCATTACAAACGAAAGGAGAGAAGTCTGAAAGTCAGAAATGATGACAAAGTTTACACCGATGATGATGTGGCACAGTTGTAGTCAATTAACGTGATCTATTTGTTGTTCTTTTTCTTTTCTTTATTCCTCAAAGGAAAATTAAATAAAATTTTGTTTTGTAACGTTTATTCTTTAAATAGAAATTCACATAGTTACACCAAAACACTATAAAAGAGGAATTTTGTTGGTTTCTTTAGGTTGTATAAAAATTTGTAAAAATGGGAATTGAACTAAATCAAAGTGCAGCAGTTCTTAATGCACGAGATTTAATGCAAAAAAAAGATCTAATAGAAAAAGAAATTAGAGAATATGAACAAGTTTTAGAAGGGGTTTGTTTTAAAAAAATTTTATTATATTTTAAAATTATTAAAATTAAATAATTATTTCATAAAAAAAAAAAATGATTATTTCATACAGCAAAAAATAGGAATGTTTGAGCCATTAATTGATAGGTCAGGTTTTCCGCGTGATGATATTGATTTGGTAGCAGTAAGAACAGCACGCGCAAAAATAATATGTATTTATAATTTATTATTTATTACATAAAAAAAATGAATTTAATTATTACAAAAAATAATAATTAAAAAAAAATAAATAAATAAATAAATAAATAGCATTAAGAAATGATCATAAAGCAATAATGAATAAAATAGAACAAGCACTACATGAAATTCACGCCGAAAATAAAGCAAATCGAATCGATTCATCATCGGAAGCAGAAAATTCTAGTATTTTATTTTTATTTTTTCAAATAATTTTTTAAAATACTTTTTAATAATTTTTAATAATTTCTTTATTAAAAAAAAAAAAGCAAGAGAAAATAGATCAAAACCATTTGCGATTATAAACGCAGTTGCACCTGATTCGCCAGCTAAAGAAGCGGTATTATTCAAAATATATCTCTTTATATTTATATATTTTGCTTTTTTTTAAAAATTCTTGATTTGAAAATGATAATAATAATTAATTATAATAATAACAACAACAACAACAATAATAATAACAACAATAATAATAACAATAATAATGATAACAATAATTATAATAAATAATAATAATAATAATAAATAATAATAATAATAATAACAGGGATTTCAAAAAAATGATAAAATCATTCAATTTGGATCAATTCATTCAGGAAATCATCAAAATTTACAAGCTTTAGTTACACTTGTATCAAATAATGAAGGGGTTTGTAATAATTTCTTCAAAATAGAAAATAAATGATAATAATAGATGAACATCCATTCAAATAAATAAATAAATTAATGTTTATAATAGAAAACTTTAGACATTAGAATTTTACGTGAAGAAGAAATTCTTTCATTAAAATTAACACCAAGAAGTGGTTGGGGTGAAAGAGGATTATTAGGGTATGTATAATGTGAAATGTAATATGAAATGTGTGTATGTGATGTTTTGTTTATTGTTAAATAAAGAACCCTTTATTATAATCTTTTTATCTTTAATTTATATTTGTATTATTTGTTTTTCCAGATGTCACATTTTACCCATCTAAAGAAATCCAAATAACAATAGTTGATTGAAGTAATAATAGTTGATGGAAATAATAACAATTGAAAAATAATGAGAAATAATATATATATATATATATATATATATATATATTACTATGTATGATATGATCATTTAAATGTTTAAATATAGTCAATTATAAGAATTCCCTTATTTTATGACATATTTAAATTGTTATTATTTATTTATATTTTTGATATATATTATTAATTTGATTTATATTTATATAATTAGATTAATAATAATTTATTGAGTTAATAGGGAAAACTAAATTGTATTGTATATTGTATTGAATATTGTATTGTATATTGTGTATTGTATATTGTATTGTATATTACACATTGGAACAACAATAATTTGTTTGAGTATTTGTTGATACTTCACGCTTCGTAACTTGAATTTGTGGTTCAATTTTTCTCTGTGAACTTGGTTTTTTGAGAATCTATAGTAAATAATAAATAGTAATAAATTATAAAGAGAAAGATAGATAAAATAATAGAAAGATAGATAATAATAAACAGATAATTAAAATAATTAAAATAAATTAAATAAATTATTAACCTCTTTAACAAGATTTTCAAATACTTCATTCACTCCAAATTTAGTTTTCGCACTACATTCAGCAAATAAAGTTTTGGTTTTATCCGCATAAGCTTCTGCTTCTTTACGTGAAATTATTCTTGAATGTTCCTAAATATAAATATATAATAGAATAAGAATAAAATAATAGAATATAAAAAATTAAAATAATACCAATAAATACCTTATCTACTTTATTTCCAACTATCATTTTTACCACCTCTTTGTTTGTACAATAAAGATGTAATTCATTGAACCAATTATCCAACTGTTCAAAAGTTTCTCGATTACTAACGTCATAAACTAATTATTAAAGAAAGAATTAAAGAATTAAGTATTGAAAAAATTTTTATCAAATAGAAAATAGAATTATATAAAAGAAAAGAAAAACTACCAAGCATTACTCCTTGTGCACCACGATAATATGTAGAAGTAAGAGCTCTAAATCTTTCTTGACCCGCCGTATCCTAATATTACCACCATTTTTTTTTTAATATTAATAAGAATAATAATTATATAATAACAATGATAACAATAATAAATAACAATAATAAATCATGAGAGTAATAAATAATGAATAATATAATAATAATAATAATAATAATAATAATAGTATTTTACCCAGATTGTTAATTTATATCTTTTGTCATTAATTACTATATACTGTACTTTGAAATCAACCCCTAAATTTCACGAATTGAAAAAAAAAAAAATAAAATCAAATAACTTAAAACTTTATCCTTGTTTTTAAATGTATCTATCTATCTGTCTGTATATGTCTACCTATAGTAGCTGATGCGCTATCCTGTGGTAAGAATGTATCGTCAATAAATCGTAATAAAAGCGAAGACTTTCCAACATTCGAATTTCCAATAAGAAGAATTTTAAGAGTTGCGTGATATTCATCAACTTTAACTTCCATTTTTTTTTTTTATTACGTTAGAAAGGTTAAAATACTCAATATAATTATAATTTAATTCTGGTTTAAATTTAATTTGATAATATAATTTTGATAATATAATTTGAAAATATAATAAAAGAATTTATTAAATTGAAATTTTTCTGTATATAACAAATATTATCATTTAATATTATTATTTCAAAACCCAAGAAATTTTGATTAAACTTTGATAAAATTATAGTTTTTTTTTTTTTTTTTTTTGATTCAGAATACAGTTATATATTTCAGTAGAGATATTAGAAAGTAGGGATATTAAAGAGAAGGGCTGTGCGATTACGCATGGCGCATTTAAACTTTTTTTTAACCTAATCTGTATCACTACGAGATTCAAACATGTTTAATGTTAGAGTTTTTTTACACAATGTTCATCATTTATTTAGTTCATTAATAGTTCAGTAATGATATCAACATGCATCATTCATCGGAAATTTAAAAAACTTTATTAAATAACGTCAGACTTGTATAACCAAAATCTGGATGGGTTATGTAGACAATAATAAGAATTTCTAAGTATGACTACTATTGAATCAAAAATAGGGATAAATGACTAAGTCATTAAATCATTTCGAAATGACCTTCAAATGCCCTTACGTGACCAAATTATTGAAAAATGGTCAAACAAATGACCAAATAACTTAGTCATTTAAAAATTATATAATAACCAATTATCAAGAAATTATATATTGATATAATATCGATTACGGAATAGAAAGATAAAAAATTTATTGCATTTTGTAATCAAGTAATGATTAACACAGTCTTGATTTTTTATTTTCCCAAATCATATACATGAAGATAATTTTTATTTTTCAATACACATACATGATTTAAAAAAAATCCAAATTCCAATTTGAGTAAAAATCTTTATAATTTTTTCTTAACTAGTTTTGAAGGATGGTTATTGCCCTTATCACTTTCTTGACTAGAACATTGTCATTTTGAAGAATGGCAACTGTCTTTATCATTATTATCAAATTCCATAACTTGAGCTTGTAGTATCCAAACAATATTTTCTAACACTTTCTTTTTGGATTCCATATTATTGTTAAAACTGCAAATAAATTTCTTAGTGATATGAACCATCAGGATTTTTTATAATCCAGTTCAACAGATAAAATATCACAACTTTCCAGTTTTAACTATTTCAAACATTTATTGACTCTTTATAATCAAGCTTACATTTAGATAATTTATATTCCATCACACTTTTCATTTGAACAAGGAACTGTGCTGTTCCTTTATTTATATTTCCAAATTTTGTTTCAAATACTAATATTAACACAGGTCAAATACAAAAGAATTGTCATATCAAAAAGGAATTCCAATTTTAGCTGATTTATAATATAGGATTAGTGTTGTTAACAGTTCAGTTTAACTTGAAACCAAAGTTAAGCCAAACTGCTGACAAGTCAAGTTGAATCAAACTGAACCTAATTAACTTGAAGGTACAAGTAAATTGAATTGGATCAAGTCATCTAAGTTGATAGAGTCAAATGGAGTTAATAGGATTGATGGTGTTAATAGGTTTCAAGCTGATCCTTTAGTCCCATCAACCTATTAGCTTCAAAATGAAACTGATGAGGTTGATGAAACCAATAGGATTAATGGAACTAATAGAAGTTAATGGATAATGTAATTATATATAAAATCAAAATAATTATCAATAGTTACTACATATGAAACTTTTTATTTTATAAGTAAATATTAAAAACAGTATTAAGTAATCTCAAAGGTGAGATAATGTGCATCTTTTATAAAAAGTTTAAACCTATATCATCAAATTTAAGAAATTGATAGTTAAATTTCGAACATATAAAAAATTTTAAAATAATAATTATTTGCTTAATTTTGATGATATAAGTCTGTTCTTTTAATATAATATGTAATTAATTTCTATCTTTAAGGTTATTTAGTAACATTTTTAATATTTACTTATAATATAAAAAGTTTTATATATAGCAGTGATCGATAATTTTGTAAATAATTATAATTATTTTATTTAAAATTTCTAGGATTACATGATTTGATGTTTAGAGTAGCCATATATAAATTATTATTATTAAATTATATAAATAAATTAAATAATAAGATTAAGTATATACAATCATTAATAAAATGATAATTTAAATTCATCAGCAAAATAACAGGTTATATATGAAACTTTTTATATTATAAGTAAATATCAAAAATATTACTAAATAATCTCAAATATAGAAATTAATAATATATTATATTAAAAGGATATATCTATATTATTAAAATTGAGTAAAATATTATTATTTTAATTATCAATTGTTATCTCAATTTTGATGACATAAGTCTCGATTTTTTATAAAAGATATATATTTATCAAAAAATTTTTTCTAGTGAAAATCTTCGAAAGTTAATGTTAATGTAAGTATTTCATTGTTTTTCGATATATTATTTTTCGAAGGTTTTCGCTAATCTTCAAAGATTATCGATTTTGATATTTTCTTGTAACAAAATTTTATGAATATTATTATTTTCGTAGTAAATTCATATTAATAACTTTCGAAGATTATCAATTTTGATATTTTCATGTATGAAATTTTACGAATATTATTATTTTCATAATAAATTTATATCGATAACCTTCGAAGGTTATCGATTTTAATATCTTCATATATGAAATTTTGTAAATATTATAATTTTTGTAATAATTACATATCAATAACCTTCGTTTATATTATATATTTATAATATATTATTTCAATAGTTATCACTTGTATTTACATTGTTGTAATTTTCAATTGGCATTATACTGTCAATGATATCCTTCAAAGTTTATTGCAGCAATTTTAATTGACATTGTATTGTTAATAATATCTTTTGAAGTTTATCATATCACTGATTATCATTTCAAAATTTTATTCGAAGATTAATATTTTTTTGTTTATGTAATAAAATCAGTTATCTCATATAACTTATTATTTAACTATATATTCTTTTGTTTATTTTCAAAATAACTACTTTTACTTTCTAAACAATTCATACGAAATTTTTCAAAAAAAAATAAATTTATATCTTCATATTTTTGTTATTGTTATTTCAAAATACATCAAATAAAAGACAATAATTTAAAAATATTTAATAATATTTATTGGCTTGTGTTAACTTTATTTTATAACTTAACAAGTAAATAAATATATTTTATACTTTGTTTACTTTCAGAAATATTAACTTTAAAATATACTTATAAAACACTTCAAAATGATATATTTATATTTTTCTATAATTTATTCTGTCAATAAAATATCTTCAAAGAGATAAAAACTAATAAGTTATTTCTGTAAATTTATAAGGTAAAAAAATTTAAAATTTTTCTATATAATTTAAAGATCCTTTTTTAAAGAATTTATTTTATTAAATAATTATATTAAAGTAGTATTTAGAATCATAACAGGTTCTTCTTTTATTAATATATTCATGATAACAATATAAATATTCAAACTATTTATTTGAAAAAATTAATTTATTTCAAATCGCAAAATGTTGTTGATCATGATCTGACCTTCAAGGGATACGATAACTATTAACTAAAGGTATAGTAGCTAAACTAAAATATAATAAACTACTAACTAATTTATACTAAAAATATATGATATTTGAAAGATTTAAATATTGCAGATTTGTTTGAAAGAGGTAAAGCTATAAGATTTTTATAAGGGTTTAACTAAACTATTTACAAAGAATATAACTAAACTAAACTAAACTAATAATTCTTAATACTAAGTAGAGAATTATAATACAAAAACAATATATCAAGATCACGATCGCAAAACAAGGTATAATTTAACAAGGGTTTCAGTATTCCACCAAGGAATAATACAGAATTTTATTAAAAAATTATAAGGGTATAAATAATAATTCACACAAGTATTATTTATAAAACAAATCACAAAGTATTTTATTAACAAGAATTGAGAGTTAACTACTGAACTCGAATGGAACTGAGAATTGAGCAAAGAGAAATTCAGTCCTTTATATACATATTGAAATTATAATAGATTATACTGTAGACTACACTAATGCATATATTATTAATTACGTTAATGTATACATTATTAATTACACTTTCTACTACGTTATCTATTATACTATTCATTACACTATTGAATACACTATTGATTACGTTGTATATTACACTGTTGATTACACTCAGATCTACAGTCGTAATATCTAATAGTTGTACCAATTTCTAAATGATTTACACTAATAGTTTTCTATATAATATATACTAATAAAATAAAATAAGCTAATATATAATAATAAAATAATAATATAATAAATAAATAAGATAAAAATATAGTAATAATAAAATTTAATAACTAAGGTCAACAATGTTATAATATTTAATTATATAGTTAAATAATAAGTTATATGAGATAACTGATTTTATT